AGAATTGACGATGTAGACGAACTTGACAGGCGAAAAGCGCGACGTCAGGTTAGGATACAGGGACGCCATTTTGAAAAAAAAGAGGTAAAAAAGACCTCGGGAGATTGTAGTCATGAGACGCCGGGTCACGTGACCATATCGGTATCCCCTGAAGGGGAAGAATGCCTGGATTGTTGGTCTAGATTTCAGGAAACGGATCTCCGGCGTTCAGGCATGCGTACTCGCTCCACAGCGGCCAAGTCGGGACAGCAGAATAATACATGCCTAGCTACGTATAAGAAAAACGTAGCAGTCACAATGGGATAAGGTTGGTAAAGAAATAATCTGTTTCATCTTATGCCTTATTGGGCGCAGGATTGATGATCCCCTCGACGTAGAATGACAGACACCAGTACTCCAATTGGCGGAGAGATCTCCCCGTATCATCTTGTGGGTTTTCAGGTCTTGAAGACCTCAATATACCATTAGGCGGAGAGATCTCCTCGTATCATCTTGTGGGTTTTCAGCACAGAATGATAGGTCTTGAAGACCTCAATATACCATTAGGCGGGGAGATCTCCTCGTATCATCTTGTGGGTTTTCAGCACAGAATGATAGGTCTTGAAGACCCCAATATACCAATAGGCGGAGAAATCTCCTTGTGCCATTTGGGGGTTATTTCAGCATTGTTATTTCAGCACAGAATGATAGGTCTTGAAGGTCTCAATATACCATTAGGCGGAGAGATCTCCTCGTATCATCTTGTGGGTTTTCAGCACAGAATGATAGGTCTTGAAGACCCCAATATACCAATAGGCGGAGAAATCTCCTTGTGCCATTTGGGGGTTATTTCAGCATTGTTATTTCAGCACAGAATGATAGGTCTTGAAGACCCCAATATACCATTAGGCGGAGAGATCTCCTCGTATCATCTTGTGGGTTTTCAGCACAGAATGATAGGTCTTGAAGACCCCAATATACCAATAGGCGGAGAAATCTCCTTGTGCCATTTGGGGGTTATTTCAGCATTGTTATTTCAGCACAGAATGATAGGTCTTGAAGGTCTCAATATACCAATAGGCGCAGAGATCTCCTTGTGCCATCTTGGGGGTTATTTCATCACAGAATGCCAGGTCTTAAGACCTCAATATACCAATAGGCGGAGATGGCCAATTGTGCCATCTTGTGGGTTATTTCAGCACAGAATGCCAGTTCTTGAAGACCTCAAAATACCAATAGACGGAGCTATCCCACTGCGCCATCTTATGGGTTATAATACTAAAGGACCTAATATACTAATAGACTAAGACGTACTGTATCAGTGTCTACCTGCCACTGCCAATCATTACACATGTTCGCCATTATCAGAAAAATGAAAAACGCAATAATTGATAAATTTATAAGATGGTTTACTTTTTAAACTGCCACTCCCATAGCCCCCCCCCCCCCCCCCCCCCCCCCCCCCAGATACACACATGTACATGGTGCTGTTCATGCTGTTGATTGGTGTTCTTGTACCACTGCTGTGAAAAACTCTCTCAAGTGGGCTTCATTGAAATGTGACAAAACCCAAACAAATACCGCGAGCGCTCGACAATTGTGCGTTACAATCCCCAAGTCGAGTAATTTGCAAAGGAACTTCACAATTTTTTCGTCGTATTGAAAAAGGCAGTTGCCCGTGGAGCATCAACAAAGAGTGATAATTAGTAGTATACTACCTTACCGCCAGCTCTACCCCTAACTCTCGAGTCTGTTGTTCCGTAACAAGTCAGGCACAAAAGCTCAGCGTGCCCACATTGGTTGACAGAGAGAGAAGGCGGGGGAACGGTCTTCTGCAAACACTTTTAAACCCGCCACTTGGCAGTGAAAGGGCATGATAGAACAGCTGCCAATGGATAGTATAGACAAATCGTCGGAGCCTATCAGTGAAATATAAATATTGAACCTTTGCCGTTCAGTACCTGTGCAAGTCCTCAACCCATACAAGGAATTGTATGGAACACCGTTTAGGTCATACGAGGTCATCGTTTCCTTCATAGTTGCCTGTAACTAGGTGAGTGAGTGAGTGAGTTGGGTTTAACGCCGCTTTGAACATTATCCCAGTTATACCACGGTGTTTACCACTTCGGTGAAACCCATGAGCACGGGTATAGTGCTGACGTAAATATTCGAGGCAAACTGGTACTCAAACCTACAAGCTTAGGTTTCTGGTTTGTCCAAGGGACGCAACTCTGCACAACGAATTGCGCTGCCTAAGCCCTCTTGAGTAAGTTCCTTAGTGACTGTTTCTTTAGCGTCTTGCTTAAACGATTAGGTAGCGATTGGTCCAAGATAATTATCAAACTAGAACGATAATCGAGGACGTCAATCCAAATCACTTCAACAAACGGCGACAAGTGTGACGTCACGACGTCAGCGCCATCTAGCGGCAGCGTGAAGCAACGTCACCCGCCCGAGATCAGCGCAGGCCATGGACGGTAATACAATACAAGCGCTAGACGTCTGTCCTGGTCTATCACAATCGCTGTGAGCAGTGACGTATTGCGAGGTGGCATGACAGGACATACTGAAACCAGTTTTTGATGTGCTAACAGAAAGGCGACGGGTGTGTGCGAGACAGGGGTTAGCTCGGAAACAATGGCGGCGGTGATTCCGTGGCGTGAATCACGTTTGTTACACACTTGCATGTCCTGCGATTGCCAATATACCGCTAGTGATGACCCCGGTGGGGTAGGCTAATGCCTTGATGTGCTTTTAGAACGTCGTTTACAAGTGAAGACGTCGGGACATTTTGAGTCACACTATTTGTCGTGAGGTCGGGGAAGGGCAGTGTGGGATGCGTCAACGGGAGGGATACACGCACAACGGACATCCAAACTGAATTATTCCCAAAGACACGCCCACACGCAAATGGTTAAATAACTGCAGTCGTTATTACATACAGTTCACATTTATTTAAATCTTAAACAACATACATTATTCACAAATGCGTGAAGCTCACAGATGTAATATCCATATTTTCCAAATTTACACATTCAAGAATACATCCAGATTAAGCATGACGTTAATACATGGCCCGCCATGTCAATCAGCTGTCAATCTATTTATTTTTATAATGTTTCACACTTTCAAAGTTAACATATACTGAACAGAAAAGTTTCGATCATGAATATATTTGGGATATTTTTGGTAGTTAAGGCTAAGCACAAAATGTCATAGAAATACCCCCAAAATATTCATGCTCCCTAACATTTTTTGTTCAGTATATATCGGTGAAATCGGTGATGTTAGGGTGAAAAAATGCACGACAGTATAACTTGTGCCCATAATACAATGCCTGCAACCCAACAGCGCTGCTTGCGTGATTCCGTCCGCCTTCTCACTGAGGTAAGAGACTATACTGACGTTGAACCCATTCCGACAATCCAGTCAAAAGATCTGTACTTGGAAATCTTTGAAGATACGATCTTTTTCGCTGAGCAAGTCGTGCTTTGAGATAGAGATCTTAACTATGAAAGACGATAGCACTGGCAGTCTTGACTAACTCATCGAGTCGAACACACTGCGAGAAAGTCGCCAGCTCAGGAGATCGGCGAAGTATCGACAAATTTTCATTTGAACCCGCACGTTTTGCTATTGTTTAATGTTGACATGAAAAGATTGCATGCCGATTGTAACTCATGTTTGTATGCGCCGTACAAGTGTTTGCGTTGAATGATATGATCTGTATTCATACGCCGATCAACTTTAAATGTGCACTAGCGTTTACATTTTATATGTGTTTACTCACATCCGTTTATGAAGTGTATCTTAGGTTAATGGTACACACGTTAGAAATAAACAAATCATGTTGTAGAACATCTATATACACTTCATAACTCTTACATAACTCTCCGGAGCCAGAACTATTTCGGTAATAATATACTCAACGAACGAGACGCCATTTTAAAATCTCAGGCTTAGATTTAATCTCCTGACACGTTGAGAGTGTGTTAGGAGCCCAGGAAAATTATCCAGTTCCGAAAAAGATGCTTCTGTGATAACAGAGAGATCTACGCCAGCGATCTGCATTGTCGCCCGCTCTCCCAACTCCACTGAACACATTCCACCATGCAAACATACAAACACACGAGCAAAGCAGTAACCCCAGGCTGGGAAGACGTAACATTAACTGCCAGGATATTGCCATCTGTGAGAAGTTCAAAGGGAGATAATTCCTTCAGGGCGGGTAAAATCCGGGCAATAAAGACGCGCGAGCATCTCGTCATATTTTGCATCGTTGTCAATTTCTTGGAGGAAAAAAGGAGGAGATGCCAAGACTGCAATGCCGATAAAAGAATACAGAAGAGCCCTGGTCGGTTACGGATACAAGATTTTTATCTTACACTCAAACCTCGGAAGTCCCGTATACGCGCCACTGTGGGAGACAATACTCGCCTCTTGTGCGAAAAAGAATTAAATAATTCATAAAGGTTAAAGAGCCGTATTCGCATTTGTAAGGAATTAAACCTATAGCTGAGCGACGCCTGTTTTGCGATCAAGCACGTTTGGGAGATCCAGAAATTGACGTTGCTTCCATAAATTTCTCTGAAATGTTTTTTGTTATTTCGGAAGAGGTTGTTTTCGATTCGGCATTTGTTTGGCAGTCTTGTATAATAACCATCATACTCCGTGTTCCCCCACAGGACCTACCAGAGACGGCCGTTTGCTGCACTTCCTCAGTGTATGAAATCAATTATCTTGAATCAAATAACATCGCCATCGGTACAGTTTGTTGTGCGTGATACCTCACTCTCAATTGGCAGACGCATTCTGTTATATCTTAGCTATTCATTCCTCCCTTCCGGTGTTCAACGAGTTCTGACCGCTGAATACCGAGGATGAGTTGTGGAATCTATATAATGTACGCAAGCACACGATTTTAACGCCAAACTGTCTGAATCACGCCATGTCACAGTCTGGACCGACGCATTTGACTGGATTAATCCTAACATGTAAGGCTATAACAATAGTGTACATACCTTTCTGTGAACTCCCGTTCGAATTAGAAGCTTGAACTATAGGAATGTCTATGATTTTTTCTTTGTAATTACACATATCGTCTTTGCAACATTTGAATATAACTGTCACTGTTGATTGGGAGTCTCGTGGTTCAACAAGCTCCTCCCCTTCTCCACACATTGTCCTCAATGACGCCGGTAAGTTGTCATAGCAACCGTGCCGAGTGCGAGTTACCTCCCCTTCGGTCTCCATGGCCGTATAACACTTGCCGATGTTGGACTTGCACATATAGCCTGTACTGACACACCCGGATTCGTTACAATAGCACCGAAGTTCTCCTGTAAAATAAAACAGATAATTTAACTACTACATTCATATTAATAATGATAATAACAGCGGCGATAAGCAATATTCACCCATTCAACATGTTGACCCGAAAAAGATCCGGGCTAGAATAGGTCTTCAGCAATCCATGTTGCCGTAAAAGGCGACTGTGCTTGTCGTAAGAGGCGACTAAAGGGATCGGGTGGTCAGGCTCGCTGACTTGGTTCATGCATGTCATCGTATATTATTTGCTTGGATCGATGCTCATGATGTCAATCACTGGATTGCCTGGTCCAGACTCGATGATTTACAGACCGCCGCCATATAGCTGGAATGCGGAGTGCGGCGTTAAACAACAAACAAACAAACAAACAAACACATATCATGTTACGTACCAGGAAAAACAGGGAACTTTTCTTATTGTGTGAAATCCTTAAATGTATTCCAATATCTTTACTTTCAAGTTGTAAATGAAGCCATGTAAGTCGTTCGCGAGGAGGGGGGGGGGGGGGGGGGGGGGGGGGGGGGGGGGGGGGGTGCACCAGGATCGTTTCAGGGAGGAATAAAGGGTGAGATGTTTGTAAGTAGTTGGCTGAGAAAAGCCCACATCTGCGCGAATGGAAAACAAAACAATTCACTACGTGGCGTTCAAAACGCCACTTGAAATGACGTCTGCTCTATCTCACGATCCCGTAACACGAAACAAAATGGCGGCCTCACAGGCAAAATGGTGGCCGATGGCGGAGGTCACGTGATAAGAGGTCCTCCTTTCACCATTAATAATCGTTTAACTACCTAAACAAACACCAGGCACACTCGGATAATAGCTTCATTCCTACCTCTCGACCTACGAAAGCCCTTCTAGACGCCATACCAATGAGCGCCATTACAGCGACCACCGTAGGAAGACTGCGCTCCGCAGCGAAATGGATACGCTTAATGGCCTTAGCATCGCGGTTGGGGGCTACTTAGATCGTCCTCAAGAACACGGCCCTGCCAATTGTATACTGCAGAGGCATGAGATCTCAGTGATGCCGAAATGTTTAAAACAAGGATATCCGCGTCGTTAGAGAGTAAAAAACTCTCGATCCAAAGCCACTCCAAATCAGACGTCAGTTAAGTTGGGCTATTTATCAATCAGCGTAGGGGTCAGTTCTTGCATGTCTATCTGACATTGATGGCTGACCTTTGACCCTGAGAAAATCCGATAAGTTTTATGATAGTGATAGACCGTTTATCTGAGACAGAGACGGTGGGGGTGGAGACTGGCGTGAGATGGTGAGTTTTATCTCAAGAGAGACCGAGCTCATTAATCAAACGTCACTGTCACGACTTACATAATAAGTTGAGTCTCCGGATTTCAAGGAATATCAATATGGCTCAAATGAAAAGTAATGCATTGAAAATTATGTCCATGTGAAACCAATATATGTTTATTTTGCAACTGAAGTACCTGGTCTAACCTTGGTTGTATCCAAATACCTGCACCAATGACAGTCATAATTTGCTTGCTAAAAATTTTAAAATTTTGCTTGCAAGCGGTATCATCAAACTAGAATAGTTATGTTAACAGCAGTGTTTTCTGAGGCAGGGCTGGTAACAACTCATAAACTCACAAACGTTTTGCAAACACCATGGTGTCATTGCAAAGAGATGGTTCGCGGAAGGCTACAATTGCCAAATAATCCTTCGAACTGCAAATTTCGAATTCACGCGATTCCACATGTACATTGAATGAGACGGTACGTCCATAGTCCACTGATAACAGCTGTTTGGATGACATCGGGGTGTGCGGTAGCTGAAAGTATTTTCATGGGAGAACGCTGTTTGCCAGTCGGCGTCGGTGACGGGTCGCATGTAGTGTACTTCCGACTTCTTTGTGGAGGATGGGAGGGGTGAGGGGGTAATCTACCCGCGGTCGGGTTAGAGGTACATAATTCAGTACTGGGCCAAATAATGTGCAGCATATCGTCCTCTGAACGACATTCCTATATCAGGACATCACAAAATATAGAGCTGTACATGAAGATAGTGTTGGTGACGTGATGGCAAGGGGAGACAACTGGTGATGAGTTGAGTATGGAGCATGTAACTCCATTCTACATGACGTTTGACAAGTCGTCCTAAATGACAGACTCGCCTTGGGCACCCAAAATTTCTCATCACGTTGAGCGAGTCCTGCCCTCTGCGCTCAGAACACGGCCAATAGGCCTAGTTTTATTAAAACTCTGATTGACAGGTGAGTCTATGCCAAAACTTGTCTTGCCAGAGGTGAGGTGAGGTGAAATGGGGTTTTACGTCTCCCGTTCAAGATTATTGAGAATATTTAGCGAAGTATGTGTGATGTGCACTCAAACACAGCATACTAACTCAAGTCGACAAGTCCTTCTTTCATCCCTGTTATGCTGAGCACCAGGCAGAGAAACACGACCATCTTTTACCGCCATTTGGTATGACGCGGCCAGGGATCGAACAACCGACCTTCGCTCTCAGGCCAGACCACGAAGGCGGTCCTGTCGTGCCAGACGACCTTTCCCTCCTCAATGTTTTCATACAGCCTCCATTCTGCCGACATAATCCCATATGAAGCTAGCTTAGAAAGGAACAGAATTTCTTAGATCAAACCAATAGATAAAGTCTTGACTGATACAAAACAACATCCATTGCTATAGGTTGATTCCTCACTAGCTTTCCTGTTACACAGTCAGTTAACAATCTAGTCAGTTAACAATCTAGTCAGTTAACAAGCTAGGCAATTGTAGAATTGCGTCTGATGAAATATGTGTTTGGTGAGCCCTATTGCATAGAACTCCGCAAGTTTCACTCGAACTGGACCCTAAGTCGGGTAACGTGTACTTATGATTAATATCCGTCACTTGTGTATTTCTAACCGTCGTCAAACATCGCCTCGTGAAATAATTGGTGAGCAGACGACATCTTGTCTGGGACATTGCGAAGCAGCCACGTTAGCCTCCACCGTCACTGTCTTCCTTTGAAAGAAAATGGACCTCGGGAAAGATGGCCGGAGATAAAGACGGTCGAAATAGTTGGCGGGCACTGACTGGAGTGTTAGCGTATTGGTGATGTTCCATAGAAATAAAGCCGCGTGACTGTAAATACAATACGACGTGGAACACTCGATCTGCACACCAGATCAGGTCAGACAGCCGTTTGACTGAGTAATGGTAGGTGCGAGGGTGTCATATTTGTAACAGGTAGGCACCTGCTTGTGGCTTGCTTTGTGGGAAGTGACTCGTTAGGGGACAGTCTCACATCCTAAACCTATCTCAGAAATGAGCAAGTATAATTTGTTACCGTCTTCGTTATCCCTCTTTTATTCCCCTGTCACCCAGTCCTCTAATTGCGCCTCTGAGCAGGGGCGGTAATAATATTGAATATCTACCGTTTTAGGGAAAATTGTGCTTAGATTGACATGCGCAGTATCGATTTCGTAAAGATTGTAATAGGGTGATCCCACCCCGAACCACTGACCAAGACAAACGGATAACGTATTATACCCACGTCAATCATTTTGGATATTTTTCCATTTTTGTACGAAAAGCATCAGTTGCAACTACGATAACCATGCTATTAATGAAATACGTTACGCAGCATTGTTTCAGCCATATAGTGACGTAACCATAAGGGTCAAACGCGGCAACAATTATGATCAAACGAGTCGACTAATGAGTCAACAATTATGATGAAACGAGTCAACTAATGACTCAACAATTATGATCAAACGAGTCAACGTATGTTTAAACAATGATGATCAAATGAGTCAAATTATGTTTCAACAATGATCAAATGCGTCAATAATTATGATCAAATGAATCAACAATTATGATCAAATGAGTCAACTAAAATGATCAAATGCGTCAGTTAAAGGGATAGAGAAACATGACCCCGTCTGAACTATTCGTGCAACAAATCAACACGTATAACTACACGAAACACCAATAATCGACATCCGAGTCTCCCCAATCTACGAACTACATCCATCTTCACGCACTGTTCCCCTGTGCAGAGCGGCTCGAGTGTAGGGTGTGTTTGTCTACCCATTACATTGCTCAGTATGAGTCTGGTGTGCAGTTGGCCAGCTAGAGTTTATCATGTCTGTGTTTGCATACTTTCCGCGTCTGAAAACGATCCTAAAAGATCGTAAACTATCTGAAGTTTGTGAGCTCATTCATTTTGCTTCCATTTACTTAATAAAGATAGAAGGAACAAGCTGAAGTAAGTAAGACGGATAACTTTATAACGATACAAAGTAAACAGTCGACTACTGAGGGTTATCGGGACCCGAGCTGGCTTTATCTTAATGAGGTAAAGGATACACGCCGCTGTTAGCGGGGGACAAGAGACACTCAAATTGAAGGGGTGGCTTTCGTGAAAGGTATGGGCTATTTACTCTACAATCACTGGCCACTTAGACCAGATCATGGCCGAAAGTCGCCTTCAGTGGACATCCAGCAAAAATAGACCTCTTGCTTGAAGAGGGATACGTCTCTGCCGGCATCGTAATTAGCAACGTCATCATCATCATCCCATTCCATTTGGTCCTTTTACTATCTGTTTCGTCATATTATAATTATTATTATTCACATTGGAACTTTTGGCTCTAATATTATGATTTTATAGTTTTATAAGTAGTAGTAGTTGTAGTTGTTGTGGTAGAAGTAGTTGCAGTAGCAGCAGCATAGAGGTAGTAAACATTCTAATTGGTCTTAATCGTTGCATTATTATTATTATTATTATTATTATTATTATTATTATTATTATTATTATTCACGGGGGGCATTTGCTTCTATTGTTACTACCTTAATTATTTCCATTCCCCGATACAACCGTACCTACGCGGAGTGAGTTTGACACACGTAGGTCAGATTACCTTCAATGATATGTAGCCCCGTCGAGAACGTTTATGCATTAAAAGACAACAAAAAAATATATAATTTCACAATTGTTGCAGAAGACAAATTACGTACATATCACATCAATATAAATTTCAAAT